GTCCGGCATGTAGATGACGAGGCGGTAGCCGCGCGACCGGCACACGTGCGCTAGCCCGATCCCGGTGTTGCCCGCCGTGCCCTCCACCACCGTGCCCCCCGGCTCCAGCAGCCCGCGCTCCTCCGCGTCTAGCACCACGTACAGCGCTGCGCGGTCCTTGACCGAGCCCCCCGGGTTCATGAACTCGGCCTTGCCCAGCACTTCGCAGCCCGTCTGCTCCGAGAGCGCGTTCATGCGGATCAGCGGCGTGTTGCCGATTGCTGTGGTTGGGTAAGTGGCTGTGTTAGCTGGGGTTGCGGCCTAGGCAACTTGTCGCATGAGGAAGATAGGTAGAGGTAAGAAAGCAAGTAAGCAAGCAAGCAGAAGAGCAAAATCAAGAGCCCGTACCGCCAGTCAACCCCTTCGCTATGCCCTGCGCCTTCGAGACGACCAGGGTATGCGGACTTGGGTCCTTTGCCGCGGCCGGGGCAGCAGCGGCAGCTCTGCGCGCCGTCGTGGCTATTCGTCGCATGCCGTGTCGGAACATGATGTCGAGTTGCCTCGGTTTAATTCGCCCTCGTACCACAGATTCCGTCGCCAAAAACCGAAGAACAAGAAGGGAAAAGACACCGATCCTGCAGTAAAGGGGAATTGCAGTGTAGTGGGAGGGTGAGGAGATGTGGTAAGGAGGAATCGATTCGGTCTGTTCTTAGAAATTATTTTGGCGGGGCAATTTGTCTGTAGGTCGGTTCGGTCCTAGCCGGCGACTCGAAAGCACGTCATACCGGTTACCGCAACTCGGGCCGTAACTCAGTCTTCGTCTTTCATGCTACGCGGCGGAACACTTTCTCGATGACTTATTTATTGTCCAAGTCACAGAAACATATCCGAGGGTCCTTTTATAATAGTTCATCATTGATGCCCACCAGTAGCTCTCCATATATTCCTAAACACCATAGATCTATCTCAAGCACTTAACCCCAAGTCATAGTCGTCGGTGCCATCATAATATCAATAGTCATAGCAATACATCATCTAGATATCATCGACCTCGTTACCCATATCCATTATATCCATGCACATGCTACTATGTATGTAGATACCCAGGTAGATGTCGATGTATCATAATTCGCTGTATATGCCATATGCCAGATACCAGATGCCATAAATGCCATCCTCCCCATATTGCCCCTCACCGCAAGCATACCCTAGGTCCTTCCTAACCTAACACAGATGCCTAGGTATTATTCCCCTCAATAACCCTCACATATGGCGCCGGAAACATGCCTTCGGCGCCCATGTAGCACCCGAAGAGCCACTCCCCATTAACGTCCTCGATCTCCCTCACCTCAGCCCCCTTGGGGAACAGCAGTTCGTCCGTGGTGCCGGGCTGCGGGTACCAGGACCACCGCGCAGCGGCTTTGAGGCCCTCCCCGCCAGAGGGCGGGAACAAGTCCGTGCCCGGCTCGGGCGCCAACGCATTTACGTCCACAGCAATAAGTCTCTCGAGCCTCTGCCCGTCGGCGCTCTTCCAGCTCCACTTTTGCAACTGCGGCCCCTGCTCGTTCGGATTAGCGGCGGCACCCTTGTATGGCTCCGCGCGCAGGCTTGTGCCTCCGACCATGTCCTGGAAGACGGAGCGCCTCTGCCCGAGGGAGCCCTCGGTGAACCCGGCGACAACCATCCTGTGACCCTTGAGACAGCGTCGCCATCCCTTGTGCCCGTTCTCGCCAGATATACGCTTGTTGTGCACCAGGCTGGCGTAGCTGTCGACGCAGATCTCGTAGTCGCCCGGTTGCGCGTCCGGCGAGGTCGTGCTGGTGCACTCGTAGCAATGGTATCTGCGGTGGTGGGGCGGGATAGCTTCCTGGCAGACCTCGCACGTTGTCGTGAACGAGAGTGCCCGGAAGTTCCCGAGACTGACGGCATTAGGCCCTGAGAAGACAGTCGAGCCGCGTGGACGTCTGGGCAGCCGGGGACTGCTTGGTGGCGAGAGGGGGCTTGTCGTCGGGGCGATGTAGGATAGGGGGAGCAGTGGGTGAGTACAGCATTTGCCCTGGTTCACGCAGTTGTTGCAGAAACCCCAGTCGCCCTCGTTGCAAGACTCGCAGCGCCAGAAACACTCGTTGGCCCAGGCGAAGCATCGGCTGCAGAACATGCCGCTTTCAAGGCGAAGTGCCGGGTCGTCCGTCGTAAGCGTTCTGCGTCCATCCGCGCCGCCTGGTGCATATTTGGGCTGTCTGTACCGGCAGGAGGTTAGCATGTGCGGCGGTTCCAGGTCCTCGTTGCCCGCCGCTCGGGCTCGTTCCCACTTCTTGAAGGCCGCGTATCCGAAGCCGAACCAGTGTTCGCATCCCTTCCCGGAACGATAGCAGCTCAAGCAGATGTTCCACGAGCCATCCAGACACTTCGAGCAGTTGTAGTGAAGCTCGTATTCGATGTGCGTCCGTCTGCAGCGCGAGCACGTGACTGACGGCTCCTGGTAATATTTAGATCGTGTTCGCTGATGATGCGCCTGATGAGTAGGCGACGAGATAAGTCCCAGGCTAGGTAAGGGAGGTTGTGCCACTATGAGGCTCGACGGTCGGGGCCGTCGTTTGGCGCGTTCCTTGCTGGAATCATCAGAATGGATCTCTGGCGAAGGCGCCGATGGGATCTTAGCGGCAGATGCTCTTTCGCTAAAAGAAAGATCTCTAGGCCGAGAGCCCTCGCCCGATGTGGTTTGCGCAACTGAATTCGCGATAGGCATACTGGAGCTTCTCGATTCGGTGATGGAAGGACGACGGGACGACGGGTCTGAACTTTGCGATCTCAGGGTTAAGTCCGTCTGTGACCTTGCTGCTGGTCGGGTGTCTGCAGTTCTCGGCCGGATTGGGTCAGTTGCACTCCTGCCGCCACTGGAAGCCCTTCTCCGCCGTCTTTCTGGTCCTTCACGAACCTCAAGGTGGGTTGACGTGATCGGCGGTCGACTGCGGTCTTCTACCTGGGTTTGACTGGTAGAATTCGGCGCTCTACTATTCGCCGAGCTAGATCGCGGACGACTGCCAGGTCGGGATGTATCTGCCGGGCCAAGACGCGGTGATGGCTGTAACTGGTCAGGTCGATGAGATGCGATACCAGGGTCACTTCTCCTAGGTTGTTGTTGTTGTTGCTGCTGTTGTTGAATGCGGGATCGTTCTCTTTGCCTCCTACGATAGGCTTCGGTAATCTTTCGGCTGAGTTCGTCGTTCTGAGCCAAGTCAATGTTGTCTAAATCTAATCCGTCCAGAAGGCCTTCTTCCTGAATTTGGCGGGCAAACTCTTCTATTTCTCTTTCTACGTCATGGAAGTTGACGTCTGACGAGCTGATCAGAGATCTGATAGACGCTTGGTGTTCTACCTGTCTCCTTCTAATGGGTGATAAATCACGCGACCGGTGGTGTGATTCACTGCGTTGACGGTGTCGTTCATCCGAAGTTAAATCGGGTTGCAACATACCGCTTGAGTCAACACGACGTCTAAGCTCTTCATCTCTCCGCGGGCGATCACGCGCATCCCGATGCCGAGTCTCGTGACTGCTCTCCCTGTCCGACCTACCAGCCCTATCTTCGGACCGGCTATGACGATGGCGTCTCGCCCTTGATCTCTCCGGAGATTCAACGCCGGCTTCCTGTAAGCTCAGGTGGCGCGCTTGTTCTAGCATCTGCCTTTCCATCTCCTCTAACCGTCTTTCCTCAAGTGACTTGTCGGGTATCTGTACCTGCGGTATAATATTATCTCCAGGCTTGTACTTCTGGCGCATCTCCTCTTTCTCATTCTCGGGTTTAGCCTTGTCCGGGTTCGCGGCTAGGTACATTTCGAGCAGGGTGTTGACAGTGGCATTGTGGCGGGTATCGCGAACGGTTGCGCGACAGGACGGACAGGTAAATATCGGCGAACCAGAGGCTGGAGGATTAGGCGAGGTCTCTGCGATTGTTTGCTGCCACCCGAACCAATCTTTTAAGCAAGAGCCACAAAATGTATGCAGGCAGTCAAGTAGGGTCAAAGGTTGGTAGAGAATGTCGGTGCAAATCTGGTAAAATGGTCAGCCTTTCCTGAACTTTTACCGTATACGTCCAGCATAGCAAATGCGACGCAGTGGAACGCGAACCTACCGAGCAGGTCAACTCCTTCTCCAAGTCGACTCCAGGCCTTGCGGATGAAGTCATCGCAGCCTTAGGACGATAGGACAAGAGGGTTGTATCAAGGGATCTAAATTTTACGAAGGCGGCTATCGGAATAAATCATAGTCAGGTGATGGGGGACAACAACTATGTATGGCCGAGTAAGACAGTCAGAGTATCTTGGTATGTACCGGGTCACCCACCACCATTACACTTGACTGCATGATGCAGAGGTGCTGCGCGTCTGACCGTTGGTTGGGGGGCCTAAGTAGTGAGAGGATGATGGACAAGAAAGTGCAGGAATCATGTCGGGGTAATAGCCAGCCTCACCTCTCTCAAATCGCAACAGTTCAGCGCCGTCTGCAGAGTACGGCGGTGAGGACTAGTGGATTTTGAAAACTGCAGTGATTCAGCAACAATCTTGGGTCTAGGCTTTTGAAAGTGAGAAGACCGAGATCTGTGGGATCTGCGGAGGGGTTAGAGGGGTCGACTCGGTCGATCTAGTACGGTATAAGCAGATATTTACTACTTGAGGTTCTCGTAATAGACGAAAATATCAGACAGTTAGACCTCGTATAGAGCTATTATTAGACAATGTACTGTGCTAATTGTATCATTTTTAGATTCCTATGCAGATGTAGAAGCCTAAAACGTTCATGGTCAGGCTTCAGGTCTTTAGAATCTCCCTTCCCGACTCGAATCTTCCTCTATCTAGCTACTCTCGAAGTCCTCATACTGTTGTTATACATACATATTAATCGGGGGGTAACAATGTGACTACCGTCCAACCACCTGAGCAGTCGAAGAAGTTGAACAAGCAAATGACCTAAACCCTACAGAACATAATCATGGTACCAAAAGATAAGACCAAAAGGAGAATGCCTGTTGCAGGGTTCGAACTTACGCATCTCTCGATAGCACAGATATGTGAATGTGATTCTTGAACAAGAATCACCACTCAAATGTGCCGCCATAACCACTCGGCCAAACAGGCTTCTTGCATCTTTTTCAGGTATCGTTGGGCCTACATCTGGGTGTACACCAAGTGTGGATTTGCGAACCATACTGTGAAAAAGTGCGAGATATAGCACCCATGAAACCAGATTCAAGATCCCATTGGGTCATGGTATGGATTCACAAAGTCTGGTGATGAACCGCAGGTCACGTGGACTTTATACGATGTATCTTCCCTTATCCAGGCAGCCAAGGACCCAAATCTGCCGCTGGTATTCAGGTGGAAGATATGAGATTGTTGAAAGGTATTGGGAGTGAAGGGCAACAACGAGAGTTAGCTTTAACATAACTTACCTGGGGAGGTTACTACTCGGTACACTAATGAAGGGACCTGACTGTAATGGTAAAACAGTGACGGTGTCGGATGTCCTGGATTCTTACTGTGGGATGGAATAACACCTCGACATATTCCTTCATGAGGACCACCAAGTCTATGATTCTAGCCATGGTTGAGGGACGTGTGGAACCCCCTTGTTTTCTTCCATTTCAGTCTTCCTAGTTCCTAAACAAACACCCACGGTTGTATAGTCATCCATCTTTTACTCATATCTTTCTGACAACAACTCAGTAGAGTATCTGAGCAGGAAAAGATTCAGAGCTTTTGATTCAGACACTAAAATCATGATTGAATTCAGCATATCTCCGAGTCACATCTCTCAGCCTGGCTCAGGCAAGCATATGCTGTGCCATATTCCAAACATTTCGTCCCAAATAGCCGTAGTATGTCCTGGTCCCTATTCGTTCGTCCACTCAGGCTTCTTCTTCTCTGCGAACGCCTTCATCCCGATCTTCTGATCCTGGCTGCCGAAAGTGCTGTGGAACACGCGCCTCTCGTACTCGACGCCGTCCCGCAGCGGCAGGTCCTGGCTCTTGTTGACAACCTCCTTGGCGCCGGCGACGGCGACCCTGGAGTAGCCCGCGATGGTCTCGGCCGTCTTGAGGGTGCCCTCCATCAGCGCCTCGTAGCTGGGGAAGGCCCTCGCGGCGAGTCCCCACTGCGCGGCCTCGACGCCGCTGAACGATCGGCCCGTCAGGATCAGCTCCATGGCGCGCGACTTGCCGATGGCCCGCGTGAGGCGCTGGCTGCCGCCGGCCCCCGGGATGGTGCCGAGCTTGATCTCGGGCTGGCCGAAGTTGGCCGTCTCCGTGCAGTACAGGACGTCGCACATCATGGCGAGCTCGCAGCCGCCGCCCAGCGCGTGGCCGGACACCGCGGCGATGATGGGCTTCTTGACCTGCGTCGTCAGCTGCGACCACGACTCGATGAAGCTCGTCAGGTACGCGTTGGCGAAGGTCAGGGGCGCCATCTCCTTGATGTCGGCGCCGGCGGCGAAGGCCTTCTCCGACCCCGTCAGGACTATTACGGACACCGCATCGGACTTGTTAAAGTCGCCCAGGGCCTGGTTGAGCTCCGTTATCAAGGGCGTGCTCAAGGCGTTGAGGGCCTTGGGTCGGCTAAGTGTTACTGGTGAAAGTGGCTAGGTTAATATTGCGTCTTAAGGAGCAGAGTAAGCGCCGTCGTCTCACCTTGGCCGACGTGAGGCTTGGGTTCCGATACCTGTATGTAATCATAAGATCTAGATACCGTGGCGGAGAACTGGCGGACTGTCTTAGGGAGTGTGCATGGCTGGATACGTGAGGCCAGGGGCCTTAGAGTCCGTAATGTGTTCATCTCGGGTGAGCGAGCTAACAAATCGCAACTACTGTGACACAAGATACGACTCTCCAATGGGGAATGATAGAAGGTCAATTGGGATACACCAACTAGGTAATTGTTATTATATTCGTAGGATGTACCATCCCACAATATACTATTTGTTTTACTCAATGTCCTCTGGTGCTCGCGGTCGACTTAAAGCTCGAACAACGGACCTCGGAGGTTAGGTATGAGGTCATGGGAAGCCGAAGCAGCCCGAGGATAAGGTAGCTGAATAAGCACCGTCTCCTCTAATCCGTATGTATGTACAAAGGAGAGAGATATTTATCTAACAGGTAGTAGTATGTAGGTAAAGGGGATCTGAGGAAATTGAGGTGCCGAGCCTGGGGCTGAATGGTAGGTTACACTGTTGTGGCTAGGTAAATGCAAATCCGTGGCGTTGGTGGCCAGTGAGTTTTAATTAATCCAGGCCAGATTCACCCCAAAAAAGTTGGCTCCCCTGGCCGCGCAGATCTCCAAAAGTCGCGACGTGCAAATTACTTGTACCTTGTCTACGAAATCAATCTTCGACATACTATCTCGACAAATCTATCGCCAGCAACGCTCCTTGTGCCGAAAAGACTCAACCTCGATTAACTGCCTAGTCCGGTTTCCGATTTGACTTAATTGATCCAGGTTAGAGAGATCGCATTGTGGCATCATGGAGAACGTGGAAGCGGACCAGACCCCTTTCGCGGCCGTCACAGCCCAGACGTCCAAGATCCAGAGAGTAAGTCTTTTTTCCCTCTGCCTTTGCTTTTTTCCGCCAAGGTAGACGCGGAATAATTTGGACATGTCTGACAGTGTATAGCAATACCAAGCTCTCTTGGATAAGTCGACTCCATTCGTCTTATACCGATGGGTTGGCACCGCCGTATTTCTAGGCTTCTTCTTTCTCCGCGTGCTTCTTGCACATGGATGGTACATCGGTGAGACATTTCGTTTGCGCAGGACTATGGTTTAGACAGGACGGCTAGCTAACAACGAATAGTCGCGTATGCGCTCGGTATTTATCTGCTCAACCTATTCCTCGCCTTCCTCCAACCTAAGTTCGACCCCTCCAACGACATGTTAGACAATGAGATGGAAGACGGGTCGGCTGGTGGTCTGCCGACGAAGCAGGACGAGGAGTTCCGACCGTTCATTCGACGGCTACCAGAGTTCAAGTTCTGGCACGAGGCGACTCGTGCCATCGCCATTGGATTCTTCTGCAGCTGGTTCGACATCTTCAACGTCCCGGTGTTCTGGCCCGTACTGGTCATGTACTGGATTATCCTCTTCGTCCTAACCAGTAAGTTGAGAAAAATAAATCATAGTTGAAGAATCGATATGCTAATATTATTGACAGTGCGCAAGCAGATCCAGCACATGATCAAGTACCGATATGTGCCTTTCTCTTTTGGCAAGGCGAAGTATGGGAAGAGCAGTACGTCGTGAGCATAAGCAGGCTCCGATGCATTTCTTGGCCACGACGGGACTTATTCAGGACAGCACGCGGGAAGATGGCCACTTGACAGTCTAGACAAAAACGTGTAGACAGGTTCGATACATTCTAATCACAAAGACCACCTGAGAGAGTGAGAGGAGTGTACGGTTCGATTCAATTGTATAAATTACGGCGCAGGCATTGTGTATGAGGTACATGGGAGCTGGTGGTTTGCACGGAATAATGCGGTGAGGTTCCCAAATAATTGCTGGTTGGCCTTGAAGGGACGTATCTGGACAAGGAACCGTCCAGAACGGGGGTAGACTGGCGGTAGATGGGAGGCGTAAGTTCAAGTCTTCCAGGATCACCGATATATTATTACAATATACGGAATATTGGAGATGAAAATAATATCTACATGTTCATGTCCAATTGTGTTGGTGATGAACCGTGTGATGATGGTGATGGCTGAATTGCAGGCTTGTGATACCTAGGTACGTAGGTACTTGATAGGAACGTAGCGATAAAGCTTAGAGGCTTGAGCCTTTTAAGTTAAAGCTAGAGGTAACAATGTATGTACCTAAGTACATGTACCTATGTATTGAACCATGCATTTAATTAAACATCTTTATTTTCCTGAGGTTGGCGGCGAACCTTTAGGGATTGAGGTAAGTACCTACCTCGTAGAGACACAGCACTCTCACTGAACTTTTCAACCTTTTCAACTTTAGTTAACGTCGAGTCTCGGCTCTACAACTTTTAATATCCACGCAAACCAGAAATTTGCGTGGGTTTCATCATTAACATCTTTCAAATCTTCGGTTAGGTCAACTTTATTCCTTCTCATTCTTTACCTTCTGCCGTTTTGTCTGGTCTTGAGGTCGTCAGGATGGCGTCCTCGTCGCGCAACGGCGAGCATCGCTCCATCCATCAAGACTTCATTGCCAGAATCCGATTCTCCAATGCCCTACCTCCACCCCCCAACCCTCCCAAACTCCTAGACATCCCCAACACTGGCCTGGCCAGCGGCCAGTACACGGCGCCGGGCTTTGGCTCCAGACTGGCCCGAGAACAACAGCTGAACATTGAGGCTGATGCCGAGCTTGGCATGCCATTGGACCTTGTAGGAATGCCGGGCGTCTTCGACGGTGATGAGAGCTGTGAGTACCCCTGCAAGATATCCCAAGTTGCTAATACTGACTCGAGATACAGCCATTCAGGCACCTGCACAGTCACCGCCTATTCATCCCCATGATCGAGCTCTTCTCCGCAATGCCAGCAGTTTGGGTAATCCCAAGTACGCCGAGACGAACGTATCTTTCCTCCGCCGTACTGAATACATTGCATCCGTTGCTCAAAAGACTCACCATACCCCCGGTCTCTTACGCACCAACACTGCCCCCAAGCGACCCTTGAAGCGACCTACTCCGGAGCCAATCCTCGACTCGCCAGTTAACATCAAGCGAAAGATTGACCAGAGCTTCACCGTGGCCGCTGCGAATCTGAAGGATAAGAGTAGGGTCAAACATCCTTCGAAGCGCAACGTTAAGCTCGTCGACGCTTACCCTCTGATCCCTGATCTCAATGCCTTTCCCGACTCGGGCGCATATACTACATTCAAGTTCACCAACAACCCAGTTCCGACTACTGGCGTCTACGACAAGCGCCTCCATAACTTCATCCTTAAGCCCGTCGCCAAGACCGAGGCTGAGGAGGCCGCTTTGGCCCTAGCCATGCAGGCCCACGAGCGAGACCCGGAGCACATCCCAAAGCCACAGAACGTGATGGACTACAACTTCTTCATGAGCGAGTCCCCGGATGCGACGAGCCGTTTCCAGCAAAAGTTCGACGTCAACAA